AAGGAGAACGGCACCCGCCGGGCGCCCCCCGGCAGGCAGGGATGGGCGGCTGGCCGGCCGCGACGCTCCTTCTGGGCTGGTTGGCTGGCTTCCTCCTCCTTCCTCGCTCCCTCGCTGGCTGGCTTTATTCTTATAGTTGAATTTTTTACCCCCATTGAGATGCATTGAATAGGTTTTGGGGGAACTGTGTTTTGATTAGCGATTTTTCCCATGGAGATTTTTGAATAGCGACGGCAATTTGTTCCTATTGGAACGGATTAGCTGGCTTTCAGTGCATTTCAATGGGAAATCGCGTTTTGAATAGCGAAGAAATCAAATAGCTATGTTTTTGCGAAATGAATTAACTTCGCTATTCGAGGCACCACTGTACTGAGGTTTTAGTTTAGAAAAAACAACTGTTCCTGCACTGCAAGGGTTAAATGCTTGTTTGTTTTTTTCCTATAGGTGGTATTAACAAAGAAATACTTACTGGTCCTCCAATCCCCCACTGGGCTAGACCAGTAATGGTCGCCATTGCCCCCCTCCACTGGACCACTGCGCCAGCAGAGGGGAGTGCCAAAATCTGGGATCGGAGGACGGGTAAGTATTTATTTATGGCTACTTATGGCTCAGGTGCCCACAGAGAGAGCTCTGTGCGCCAACTGTGGCATGCGTGCCATAGGTTCACCATCGCTCGGCTAGGTGTAAATGTTTCAGGGTTAGGTCTTTCCCAGGCCTCTTCTTTCTCCAAATGTACTGTTAATTGTTAATTCTGAAATGTAGTTTCATTGGTTCTTGGTATCACCTAAATAGACTACCAACTTCCTAGATAGAAAATGTGCTTGCACAAAAACTTTCTCAAGAGATTAGAGAGATATTTAGCAGCCATATACTCCATGGCAGATCAGCAAAATACAGATGCGTAACAGAGTATTAGTAGAATTTTGGTAAGAAGTGGAGAGGTATTACAAACAGTCAGGTAAACCCAGAGATATGCAAGCATGTATGCATGCGTGCACGCACGCACGCACGCACACACACACACACACAGAGAGAGAGAGAGAGAGAGAGAGATGTCTTGGTTCGTCATCTTAAGGCATATAGAGGAAAAGCAATATGAATTTCCCGAGAGAGAGAAAGAGAAAAAGAGTTCTGTTTTGGCACCACTGTTCCACATTTCCACCTCTTAGATGGCAAATGCCTGTTGAACCAACAAGAACCTGAGAACTACTAGTAGGTGCAAAAAGAAGAAATTAAATTCCTGTCTCAGATGGTTTTGGAATTGCAAATAAAGTGTGGTGGACTGTTTAAAAATTGCCACGGCTAAAGCTGGAAATAAAATAATTAGCACATGTTGTTTTTAAGCCCTTATTTTGGATGAACTTCACACACTGTGTTACACTCCAGTGTAATATGCCTTTGTTATTTTTGTGTTGTTTTTATTGCTGTAATAGAGCAAGAAGTAAAATTCCAACTTTTTTTCCCTTCAGAATCGGGGCATATTTTTAGTGGGTTTCATGACATAGCTGAAAATTGTTCATGTGACATACAAGACAATTCTCTTGTTTGAAGTCACTGTTTCTTTCTAGAACAACCACTCAGAGCTCTGCCAACATGCCTAGGGTGCCCCCGCTTCATATTCTATTTGCACTGTTTTGTCAGGATATAGTTCAGTCTAACAAGACTGTAGCAACACTCTGCTTAATGTTACTGTAGCACAGCATGTTTAAGCTAAGGGAGAAGTCTTTGGTTCAGCTGCATGTTCCTTTGCTTATTTCAGAGCCAACATGGAATTCTCACCACCCTCTTCTGATACAGTATGTTCTGTTACCTTAATTTCAATTGTGGTGCTTTGCTGTAGTATTAGTGGAAGAAGAGAAGCTAGCTCGACATTGCAAGTACACAATGAATACAAAATAATTGAGCATTCTTTCAGAAAGCCTGTTCGTTTCTAAAATAGCTGCTAGCTGCTGTTTTTGTAGCTTCTGTTAAAGAAATGCACCTTATCCTAATGGTGTAGTTTGATTATGTATGGAAAATATATTGATACTGCAGGTATGAAATGTGTTCGTTACATATAAGGATTCAAATATGGGAATTTTAAATAAGTGGGATTTTACTTTGTCCATACAATTTCTTTTGTATGGGCCTACTTCGTTCATTTTGGAACTCTAATGAGACAGGGTTGAAATGTTCACCTTTACATATGAGGTTGTTGTTTTTTTGTTGTTGTTGGTTGGTTGGTTGGTTGGCTGGGTTTTTTTGTGAGGGGGGGGTTGGTTCCTGATAGTATCATTAATAAATTGTGTTCTTCAGCACAATTTTTAGCTTGCTTTTATGATGGTAGAAGAATTGTATATCATGAAGGTCTCATTTCTGTATGAAATGAATTATTATATAAAAGCTTCTTACTTTTTAAAAAAAAATCCTCATTAGAGCTGTTCAGCAGTTATGCAAAGTGTTGTCATTGTTGTTTCTCTTGAGGGTTCTGGGGTCAGATTTTGCTTTAGCAACAAGCTGAAATTCAATCCTGCATGAACATCTTAGAATTTCACAGAGGCAAAATACAAGTTTGCCTAACAGAATATTCAAAGGATGGTCAAATAAGTGGTATTAATATTTCATTTACAGTAGAACCTGCTTTTCCTACATGATGTTGTTTGTGTGTCATAGCCTAACAGTAGCTATAATGAAGACTATTAGTTTAGGTGCTTGTTTTTTGAAAACAAAAAACAGTACTAATGTGGTAAAAGTTTCTCTCTCTCGGTTAAGCATGTCGCTGTTCCTTCAGGTATGCAACGTTTTGTGAAGTCTTTCTACCAACACTCAGTTGGAGCCAGCTTCGTTCATCTTATGGTTAATCTTCCTTTGTGGCTTTGGTTTGTAGCAGTGTCTGGTTTTCCTTTAATTCTTCTTTGTCAGCGTGGCTGAATCATGATTTGTTTGCTCAGAGGTTATAAAAGGTCAGCTACTTGTATTGTACAGATTTAAGATCAGCTACCATTTGTATCAGGAGGTACAAAAATAAGGGAGGGATGGAGAAATATTTGCAAATAAGCAATCCATAGGAATGAAAATAAAAGAATGACATACTTTGTTTGGTCTCCTAGCTGTTGCTCTCAGAACAGAGGTGCTTTGTTGGGACAAAAAAACCCCCCTAAGACAAAGTCGTTTGAATTATCTCCTTTCATTTGCTGTGGAATCTTATGTTCCTGGTCATGAGGCCATGTATAAATATGACAGTCATATAGTCTCACTCTTATGTCAGAGAAAGTAGATTTGATCCATGAAAGCTCACATTAAAATACAGCAGTTAAAAGTGTCACAACTTTTTAGTCCCTCTCTTTTTGTTGTTCTGTCTGATATTCTAATAAATTATCAACCTAGAATTGTTGCAAATTAAAGATGGAGCACAACGGAAAAAAATTGTGGCCAGTGATTCTGAGTAACTCCACAGAACAAATAGTAAACCAACAGAACAAAAATCTCTATAGCTACACTAATTACTCCATGTTTTGCTTAATTAATTTCATGACTTAGTGGAGATTTGAATCCAAATCCCCCTTAGTCAAAGCCCAACATTATATGTCCAGCCTCATATTGATAGTGACATTGTTTTCTAGTACAATGCTGAATAGGTGATACCTTTATTGGATCACTAAAAATAATACAGTCTGCTAGCTTTGAGGATCAAAGCCCACTTCAGGCATGCAGGAAGGAACTAATGTGTCTTGTCTTTAGTGCAGAGAATTTAAGAGTACCAAAAGTTCATCACAGATGGTTGTTCCAGGTTTGTTTCTTAGATGTGAATTAGGAAATGTTCAGACTACTGGAGGCATGGTTTTAAAGTTACAGCCGAGGAAGCTGTTGACCGGATATCATACCTTAGCTCTTCAAACAAAGAAGCCCAGTTATTACGTATGTATATACCCTCCTGCACGGCCATTCTTTGAAACTATGTGTTTCAATTCCAGACAGAGAAACGCACACAAAAGCTCTCAGAGTCTTTCATCTGGGAATTGAGGTGAAAATTTAGTAAACCATTAGGTGGTGCCAATTGGACTCAAATTAAAGTCAAATTAACATTACCTAGTGGTTAGAAGTCATTGTTTCCTTCAGTTTGCAGTCCTGCTGGGTTGATGTTAAGAGTCTACATGTCTTCTTGTTGGTGCTTTATAGTGTGATTGTAACCTAATGTAGTAATATTGGTGTGAAATAGATTCTATTCTCAAGACCTCTCATCAAAGTTTCTGAACATTAAAGTGGTCAGTGTGCAGTTAGTGTAGTAGCTATAAGTGGCAAAACCAGCTGTCCTCTCACAAAGGGTGGTGGTGGTTTACCAGGGTCAGTTAATCAGTTTTCCTAAGTCTATTAATTGTACTTTCACCTGTGTAATGGCTACTGCTCTTCTGTTGGGAGAAATGAATAGAGTACTGCTCTTAGGTATACTGCTCTGGTGTTCCAAAGGCATCAACTATTGTGGGAAGCAGGGAGGAAGATTTGATGGACTTTTCTTCAATCCAACAATTTTCTTATATTTGGAGAGCAACAAAATGTGACCCTAATCCTGGTAGCCACATCAACTTTGATAGAGCTGAAGAGGGTTCACAATATGGGCCCAGAAACATTTATGACACAGTTACTTTAACATTTGGCCATGAAGTAATCAAAAACTATGTAAGTTTACTGCACCTCTCCGGTGAAAATCACTGCAGTTTATTGGCACCCCACAACCTGTATTTAGCCACCTATTTTAAAAGAGCCTGTTTTGTTGTCTCTGTCACATGAATAAGATATGTTACTGTATTTACTTGCTTTGCAGCTGCATCTGTCGAATTGCATCCACTGCATTGATGAGAGTCTTATCATGAGCTCAACTGTTTCATTATTCATGTTTCATTGTGTTCATACCTACATTGTAGATTTTAAAAATTAGCTATTGGCATTGGAATCATTCATACAGCATTCCTGAAATAGCATGCAAATAATTCAAGATGTGTATAGCAAGTAAAGAATAGCCACAATAGGTTTTTAAATGCTGCTCTTTGTATATTATGGATTTGTTTATTTCTGACTAACATGCATGTATTATTTTATTACTTATGAAAACCACTTTTAGTGCATCCATTTAAATGAATTAGTAATGGCTGTTGTGCACCAGATGGAATTTAAGAGAGATTGATTTTTGCTTGGTTTTGGCCTTATGACATTTTCTCCCCTTTCATTTCAATACAAAAACTGCACCCACAACCATCGTCCTAAGACTTCCTATTGCTACTAATAGCATCTGAAGCTTTTCAAGGATCCAATTTTTAAAAAATACTTGCAATTTATGACCATTTCTGCAAATTCAGCTCAATACATATATTTATAAGCTTATATTTATATATAAATACTGTATATTTCTATATAATATGTATGTATGTATGTATGTATGTATGTATGTATGTATGTATGTATGTATGTATGTATGTATGTATGTATGTATGTATTTTCGTAGTACTTGATAGGTTCACAATAACTCAGAAGTCACATAGAATCATAGAATCATAGAAAACTGAAGTTGGAAGGGGCCAACAAGGCATCAAGTCCAACCCCCTGCTCAGTGCAGGAATACAATCAAAGTATATCTGCCAGGTGATTATCTAAGTTTCAAATATTTGAAAAGTGCTATCATATCACCCCTCAGTCTTCTTTTCTCAAGACTAAACATGCCCAGTTCTTTCAGCCTTTCCTCATAAGGCTTGGTTTCCAGCCCCCCTTGTCACCCTCCTTTGAACTTATTCCAATTTGTTAGCATCCTTCAATACAGCATACTATAGCAACATTTATGGCATTTATTTAGACTTCTTGGATCTTCTGGAAGTGATTTATTGGATGTTTTGGCAGTTTCACTTTTTGCTGTTCTCTTCTATTTCTTTGCACCTATTATCACAATAGTTTTCTTTGTGTACATAATAGTTGCTGAAAAACTTTGTTCAGGGTTCTGGCTGTACAGCGGCATCTCAACTTAAGAACTTAATCTGTATTGGCACTGCGTTCTTAAGTCGAAGCCCCATTTCCCATAGGAATGCACTGAAAACCGATCAATGCATTGTTTAACTCATACTTCTTACTTTCCATATTCCAATTATATGTGTTGTGCAGCATCAGATTTTCATTTCTGTGCACCTCAGCCATTGACATTCATTTAGTTTCTCCATTAGCAACAGAGCTATATGTACTTGTCTTTTGCTCTTCCCCTGTAGCTGATCAAGTGCTTTCTGACCTGGGAGTCTCATCTTCCAGCATTATCTTTTTTTATTTGGACTGTCTCATCATAGGGTTTTCAAGGTAAGGAAAGTTCAATAGTTTACCATTGCCATATTCTTCATGTTTCTAACAAAAATTAGCTTGAGTGTCACCACTGTTTACTCCTCTGCCAGTGTCATCTTCGGCTACCACTGCTGCCCAGTAGCTGCATTGAAGAGGGTGGATGTATCTTAGTCTGGTGTTTCAACTAGGACCATTCTGGCTTGGGTAACCCTCTAGAAGTTCCTAAATATACACAATTCATTCCTCCTTACTTCTGAATGCACATTTATAAACTGTACTAGTAGTGTTGCTTCTCTTGTCTGCTTCTGAGATGCAACTTTGTAGCCATGTTTTGTTCTCTTCTGTAATGGATAATCTTTATTATTACAGTATTTGTATGGAACACCTCCCACCATTTTTCACTCATTATCTTAAAAGCACATAATCCTCTGTGCAGTGGAAGTTGTTGCTAGAACAGGAGGACATGGGCCCAAATGAGTTCTTTTATGCCCATCTTAA